AAAGCTTGGTTTGTAAATTTCGACTGCATTGAATATGCGCTATGTAATCCACGCATAATGGTCGAACATTTATGTTTCGCATTTAATTTCAATAATGATTCAGCTGTTTTCAGTTATGTATTTCCTGAATTTATATAACTCTAATTATAAGGTATAAAATAATTAGAGCTGGCTTCAGGGTGAGGCAAGCGGGGTAATTTCCTAGGGCCCCATTTTCCAAAGACTTAAAGGGCCCCCATGCTGGTTGTGTTCGATTCTTTTTAAATTATAAAACTTGCCTTTGTTAAAATATATCATTATTATTTAAAATTCGAAAAACTTGTTTTTATTTTTATTTTATTTAATTTCTACTATTAGTTCACGCTCTTCTCCCTATATATATTTATAAATCTAGTTCAAATTTTCTACTGTTGATAAAATACTTTTTATTTATCCACTCAAATTTAAATACAATTTTTTAAACTTTTAGTGGATGACATTTGATGTTACCACAGTTTTTTTCAAACATTAATTCATTCATTAAATTTAATGAATTAATTTTAGTTTTATATGGGAGAAATTTTTTTAACTATTTAATAAAAAGTAGCTAAAATAAAATGTTTCTTAGTTGACCTAAGTGGGAGTTGACTCTTATTTTTTTAAATTTCTTATATTACTTGTTTATTTTGACATAAAGATGAAATAGGGAAGGAGATAAGCGCCTCAACATTTTACTTTATCTTTAAACATTTCCCATAGTCTCTACACATTTTACGTCTGCAATACGAAAATTGAATAAGCGCTTACATAATTGTGTACGCACATCTATGTTAGGCATTGAATATCGATAATTATTTTGTTATATTTAGTCTTATAATTCCGATCATAAGACATAAAATTATCAAAGTAGTCTTAAGGATGGGGCAAGTGTGGTAATTACCCTGATCCCTATTTTCTAAGGACTCTAGAGCAGTGGTTACCAACTGGCGGCCCACGATGCCTTTTTTGGTAGCCCGCGAGCTAAAATATATTAGTTATAATTTTTTTGAGGACGATTTTCGTAAAAAAAAATCTATAAGGGTTTAAAGTACTTTTCGCGTTTAAAAAAAAAAAAAAAAAAAAAAAAAAAAAAAAAAAAAAAAAAAAAAAANTTTTTTTTTTTTTTTTTTTTTTTTTTTTTTTTTTTTTTTTTTTGTGAATATAATTTAGCGTGTGAGTATCAGAAATTTTCTCGAAGAAATTCTCCCATTTAACTTTTTGAAACCACTCATTTTGGACGAAATTATTTACATTTGAAAATTTTAAAACGCAAAAAAGATGGAATGAATGTCATGTTTTATCTAAATTCCTTGAACTGAATATCGCATGAAAGGAAAAGAAAACAAAAATCAATTTCAGATGCTCGAGAATTTTTTGGTCATTGCTATGATTCCTAATAAGTCGAAAAAAATTGTAATTTATCACAGAATTAAATTTAAAAGAAAAAAAAATCTTGTCGCTAAGTTTTTGATTACGCCGACCTGGTGGTTAGCGTGCCTGACTGCGGAGCTGCTGGTCGTGGGTTCGAATCCTGCTCAGGGCATGGATATTTCTTTCTCTCTGTGTTCTATGTCCTTTCTCCTTTGTGTGTGAATGTGACCCGCCCTATAAACGGGTTTGTGGTTGTGTGACGTGGCGACACTGCTCCACCGCCGTGACTTCGCCACAGGTGCCCACTGGGTAACGAGAAGAGAGTAGCAGTTCTGGCACTTTCTGTGGCCAATGAGACAACCCCCAAGTGCCCGCCATTAAAAAAAAAAGTTTCTGATTAAGAGAAGATTCAAAATGATACGTAACAAGTATTATTTGTAATGCTTGCTATTTTGCTTTTTAATGATAAAAAAAACTTTGATAAAAATCTGACAGTAATATGTGTTCCTTCAAACATAAAAAGAGTTCTATATAAAATTTTGATAAAGTTGCGGCCCTCCATTTGACTGGTGTTTTTAATTGCGGCACCCGGCCTCATGTAAGTTGGAAGCCCTTGCTCTAGAGTGTCCCACGCCGGTGATAATTAAATCTTTGCTTTAATAATTATTACAATTGCAATTCCTCTTTCAATTTACTTTTACTATTTTATTTTATAACCATCGTTGAACAGCCGACCCAATTTATGGGTTTACGACTACTAATGTTTAACCCCGTATCCTTGTCGTTTTGAACCCAATCCAGAAGACAAGGGAACGGAGTAATTTGCCTTCGTGATGGAACTAACCCGCATTTGCGTTACATGGAGGGGATGACCACGAGAACCTCTCGCCATTACCCAGACGGCAGAGAGACTCTAACCCATGATCCGTCTAGCAGTGAGGATATTTCACGTCAGCACTGTGGTCGGTGCAAGTCAGGTGCGGATTCGTATCGAACAACCATCCCTGGGATTCGAACCCAGTTCACCTCATTGGAAGGTGAACGCTCTATCCCCTAAGACATCATGGTTCGAATTAAACACTGCCGAAACTTGGGATCGAACCAGGGACCTTCAGATTACTATTAAAATTTTTTAAAGCTCGTTGTTGTTGTTGTTGTTGTCGGCCATTAAGGCAAAAGAGATGTGATTGCTCTTGTTTTCCAGAGGCGACATCTATGGCCAAAAATTCGACCTCTGCCACACACCTATGCTCCGCCCGCTTATAGAGCTGACCCATTCATTCATCAATGCATACATTCACAGATCGTAATTGTGACCTGAACCAGAAAACGATTATTCTCCAATTCAGTATTCCCAGAAGTATAATTTGTTATTGGAACATGGAGGACTTTGCATGGAGGACTTTGCGACCTGACAGATTTACCGTGCACCATCCACCATTTTCTATAAGGGGAGTCTTCGTTCGGCTGGAATCGAATTGCCGTTCAAACGAACGGGAGTCCAGTGCCCTGACAACCAGGCTATCCCGGTCCCTTTAAGCCTTATTTTCTATCTTATTGTGAAGATTAAATAAAAAGTTGTTGTATCTATATTTTTAGGGGCCAGGTGAGGACAAAAAATATATGAATAACCCATTATAAGATTGGAGAATAATATTTATTTAAACGCATTTATGAATGTTTAAGTAGAGCCCTTAAATTCAAAATTACTCATTTCTAAGGATGCAAATGTTTTGTGAAATAAATATAAAACTGAAACGAAAGAACGAAATGTGAAATGAAAAAAATATGAAAACTGCAAGTAGTCCGTTTTAGGATTTTAAAAAGCAAATTTAAATAAATAAATAAAATAAAAAAAACTAATTAGTAAAAAAATAAATAAATTAAAAAAAACCTAATTAGTAAAAAAAAATAAAAATAAAAAGATAAATAAATAAAATTAAAATAAATAAATAAAATTAGAAAAACTAATTAGTAAAAAAATAAAAATAAATAAACAAATAAATAAAATAAAATAACTAATTAGTAAAAACAAAATAAAAATAAAAAATAAATAAATAAAATTAAAATAAATAAATAAGAAAAAACTAATAAATAAAAAGAAAATAAATAAAAAATAAATGACTAGTAATAATAATTAATATAAATATATTAATAATAAATAAATTAATATAAAAAAATTAATATTCTTTTCAATGATTTAGGCAAAAATCTGGTGTTTTAAATTCATCTTCTCAGGCGCAACCCAGATAGAAAATACTTATGGGGTCCCGCTAAGCGCTTACTAAGGCCCACATAGTTTAGCTCGAAAATTTTTCAAAATCTGAACAATTTAATCTTTCAGTTGAATAATGAAAAACTTTTACCTTTTGATCAAAGCATTGGAATAATGCAAAAACATAATCTTATAAAAAAAATGAACTACATTATTTAATCCGATTATTGAAAGAATTTTCATTTTCGTTCAACCAGTCTACCCACACTCTGTAAAAAAAATTCCTGTGTAATGTGTAATTTTCATGTTTTCTTTTGGTGTAAAAAATTACATCAAAAATGGGGCAAGTACTTTACCCCAAAGTGTTGTAGTAAAACGCCGCAGATAACTCTTGGTCTTAGGGCTTTTACTACACGAAGAACAGTTTCAGGGGAAGTGAAATACTACATTAAGAAAAAAAGTATAGTCAAAACTACGGTGAATATGACAAAAATTACCGTGTTTCTATGGAAACATCAAAGAGCACGGTAATTTTGACTGAAGCGCTGCAGTCAGTTTACAGTATTTTCGCTGTATTTTTGTGCAGCCAATACAACAAAGCATTTAAATTCCCAAAAAATATGCAATATATTTAGGACTTAATTATTATTATTATTATTATTTTGAAAATTAAAACTGCTCCCCTAATATTGATTGATTACCGTAAAGTACTTTTATCCTGATTGTCGAGAGATAGCATCGGTCTAGGGTAGGTATTCAATCATAATTGTTTTGATTCGTGAATATATTTTAATAAAATATCGCATATTTGAATAATATAGAAACTCTAATTTATAATGTTCACAGCCAGAAGCAAATCAAATACAGAAAAAGCGTTTTTTGTTTTGTTAGAGTTCTATTTTCTATTATTAAGTTCTATTTTCAAAGATTAACGATTTTATTCCTTAATGTAAGTTATGTTTTAACCCAAGAGCATTAGTAAATGAATCGTCTTCGAAAGAATTTAATGGAATTAGAAGTATTATCAATATTTATGTAGTGTGTAACATGTATATTTTTTAAAGAATATTAATTTGGCGGAGTTCTTTTTCGAACATAATAAATGTGTTGATGTAGAAAGCTGATTTTTTTTTCATTACTATTCATAAATCGTCTGCCCAATACTTCAAATCAGCCTAAATAAGCCATTAATATCGGTCATACTTGTAGAAAACCTGCTCACCACTTTAGCACTTTTTATAAATTATTATCGCTAATAAATCGTTTGCATTGAGAGTAGTAGGAAGGTGAGAGGAAAAAAAATGGAATCAAAATTAAATGACCACCTGCCCTCGCTGTAAGCTCTATTTTGCATAATCATTTATTTCATTGTTAAGTCAGACGATTTCGTGTTTTTCTTAGATTCGAATCGAAATCCATCTGGTAAGGATATTCAAAAAAGGGTTAAGAAAGACGTTTCCGTTCTAATTACGCTGCAGAGGACGCAAAGTTCGATGACAGACATGTTTCCCATTACAAAATTTTACAATTTCTGAACTGTTTAAAAAAAGAGGAAATCCCCCCTTTCCGTTTTTGGGATGGAAAAAGGGTTAGAAACATCCCTCGTTCACCCCACCTGGTAAAAAGTTCGACAACCGCAAGAGGATAAGGGGACCATGCTTTTAGGATTTCCATTTTTGAACATAATTTCGATGGTTTAAGAAGTCGTTCTTAGGATTATACGACAAATCTTTTCTTCTAAGGAGTGGGATTTAAGTAAGTATCGTGTTGATAAATTTATGCACGTGAAATAGTATTGAAATTTTTTCTATTTATTTAAAGGAGTGTAATGCATGTTGTACAAAAAAGTTAATTACTAGCATTTTCGAATTTTCATTATATTATATTTATCTTATTCGTTTTCTTTATATGATTTGATTTGTTTCTGTTCAATTTTATTTGTTTATTTTCTGTTTTGTAATATGAATTTGCATGTTTTTGTTATTCTTTTTTGTTTAAGCATTATAAATGCATGGTTAAATCCCATGAATGCATGTTTAATTTTTTTTTTTTTTTATGAAATAAAGAATGTTTTAAGTACATGAAATACACTTTATTAAGTGGATTTTTTATATGGATTATATTTGAGTTGATTATTTATTCACAAAAGATAATTAGTTTTTTGGAAGTGTTTTTGGTCCTGTTTTTTGAATTAGTTTACTGATATCGGGTATAAGTAATTTCCAGTTTATATCCCATTGGAATATAGTTATTTTGATTGCATAATTGATTGAATCCGTTGAAATTATTTACTGTAAAATGCATTACCCCTTCATTAGATTTGCAAAAGTATAAGTTTTACAACCAAATTTTGCATAGCGTCGTATGTTCATTTGAAAATTTTTAAGATAATGATTCGTCCAATGTACTTTTTAACTTTATTTGCACGGTTAAATTTGATTTCAGGCATCAATATTTAAATAGATATGAACTCTTTGATTACTTTAGATATATTGACAATTACGCAGTTTTCAGTCAATATTTTGTCCTAATTTTTTATTTGTCCCCTCAATTAGAGGATAAGTAAAAGATTGTAAACAAAAAAAAATTTTTAAGCACGCACATTCACAATACACAATCTATTGAATAAGTATTCTACTTTATTTAATAGAAATTTAGAAATATGACATGTCTGTTGCTACAATTTTGTTAAAGGAAAGAGAATTCTTTTTTGTAATGCACCAACATCAGGGAAAATTATTTTTTTTAAAGTGTACATATTACAACAGATGCAGTATCATTTACTATACATGTAAAAATCTGACAACTCAGTAGGATTAAAAAAATTTAGACAATAAATGCACCAACTTTGATAGAATGAATTTTTTTTCAATTTTTAATATTTTGCCAAATATTTCGCTTATAGCTTAAAACCAATTTTCTGAAAATTAAAAAACCGTGTTGTTTTGCATTTTATTGCAAATATTATATTACAATTAGAAAGGAAATGCATTAAATCTTAGAAAGTTTTGAATTTTTAAAATAGCAATTGGAAAAAATTATAAAATACTTTACTCTATAAGTTGGCTATGAATTGTGTTTACATTTTTTAGAAAGTTCAAAACTTTCGTAATCAACTAATAAAGAATTTTTTCTGAAATGAGTCTTCTAAAATAATAAGGTTATTTTCTGTATAAGTTCGTTAATTGATGTTTTTTAAAATTCAATTCAAATTTTCAATTACGCTTCCTAACTTTAAAAATTTCAAGCATTTAGCAAACAAAACAATTGCTTACGTGCTCTCAACATTGGCTAGAGCGAGCTGCTAGAGTAAGGGACACCGTAAGACTACCTTTTTCCTATTTAAAGAAACAGTGATCAATTGGTTCATTACTTTAAAACTTTTGTTCGCTGAAAATTTTTAAATAACATTAGAGAGCCGCGATGGCTCCGGAGATACAGCGTTCGCCTTCGAATGAGGTGAACCGGGCTACGAATTCTGCATCCGGCTCGCACCGACCACAGTGCTGACGTAAAATATCCTTAGTGGTAGACGGATCATGGTTAGAGTCCCCTTGCCGTCAAGATAATCGTGGAGGTGGTCTTCCTCTCCATGTAACGCAAATACGGGTTAGTGCGATCAAAAGTCCTCAACGATGGCAAATTTCTCCCAATACTTGACCCAGGAGTTCCCTTGTCTTCTGGATTGGGTTCAAAATTACAAGGCTGCGGAGTTGAACATTAGTGGTCGTAAAATCCGATAATTGGGTCGACTGCTCATAGACGGTTATAAAAAACTATAAAATAACATTTAAAACAATAACGTTTTTCGTTTGAAAGAATAAGGTAAATTTAAAACATGTTGTCTAAGAAAACAATTAAAATTATAAAGAATACAGAAAATTTCCCTTATAGTTACCTCTTAAGTATAGAAATCAGTCAATCGTTTGATTTTATAGTTAATGTGTAGACCGTTAAAGTGACAATACATTGTTTCTTTTCTCAAATTACCTAAGTAATCTACTCTCTTCATAGATAATTATTTGAACAAAATGCTATTTATTTATTTTTCGCCATCTAAGAAATCAGGTTACTGCGAACAAGCAATTAGCACATTGCTTTATGGAAGCTATGATACAAAGAAACAAACAGTTCAATTATTTTAAGGTCGTTTATTTATTATAAAAAAACAATAAATACAGTCAAACAATCAAAAAACTACTTGATAGAATGAGAGAAATGAAAGTTTGAACTTTAATGATATAGTTAAGGCATTACCTGAGAAAAATGCGGAATACTCTTGATACCGCACTTTAATAGGTTACTCTATTTAATCTGCAGTTTAGCTAGATAAAGCGCACAATAACGGCTTTCGAATTTTTCTGTGATATAAACAACGTTAAAATAATCCAAACGTTGCGAATTTTGAAATCTATTAAGATTAAATTTGTTTTTTAACTTTAAGATGAGGTAAAGGATGAAAAATTCCACCAAACCTTTTAAAGCGTCCACCCTCACTGAGGTGTTGCACCTAAGTTTTTTGTTTGCTTTTATTTTGCTAGATTAGGTAAATAAAAAGTTAGCGTTGTGAACGCTTATTGTTTTAAAAACTACTATTAGCACAAGAACCCGATGTTTTGAAGAGAAAAAATTGAGAGGCTCTTTACCGTAACATTTTATTGCTATTTTTATTAGTACGTTTCCCTCACTTAAATGTTTTTCGTAATTTTTTTGCTAATTTTTGTTTAGTTAGGTTAGGTAAATGAAGAGACCGCTGATCATTTTCACATCTTATTGCTTTAAAAATGACTATTAATGGGCACTGAAAAAATGTAGGGTCAAAACAACCATAATGAGGAAAATTTTATCATTTTTCTGTCTCGATGAGATCACCGAAAAGCACGGTAATGTTTACCGAAGCAACTGGGTAATCATTTTGGTGAAATTAACAATAAAAAAGCTTCAAAATATGTGGTAAAATTTGATAATTTTATGATGATACTTTAGAGTATAACATAAAAACCATGACATTCGGTTAAATTTAATTTTTAGTTTTCTTTCTTTTACTAAATGTGTGATAATAGGAGCTAAAATTTTGAAAACCAGAATTTCCAAAAATTGTTAGCATATGAATGGTTTAAATACCGTATATTAACCGAATAAGGATTTTTTTATCTCGACTAGAAGAGTCTTTATAATACAGTACGATAATTTTACCACAATTTTTCTCCATTTGAAAACCATGGTTTTAAAGAAAAAGAAAAAAAGAAAGGATCTTTGCCATAACGCTATTTGCACAACTTAACGATTGCTTACGTTGGGTAATTGAAGTTTGAAAAAATGATTGAATGCTTCGAAACATTGTAACCATTGTCGTTAACGACTACAACAATCCTTTAATTCATATTATATATGTTGGAAAAATTGAGTTATGAACATTGTTAGAAATTTATGAACGCTTTAAATTCTATTTCTTTTAAATTTGCCGCAACTTTAATATTTCGAACCATATTTTTAAGTTCCATTACACGAAATTAATAGTTTCAAAGAACAGAAACTTTAAAAAGGTTTCAGAAAATTTCCTTCGTTTTATGATTTAGCGTTGAGAAATTTCCTGAGAAAATAATATTATTTTATAACCGTCGTTGAACAACCGACTCAATTTTTGGGTTTACGACTACTAATGTTCAACTCCGCAGCCTTGTAGTTTTGAACCCAATCCAGAAGACAGGAGAACTCCTGGATCAAGTAGTGGAAGAAATTTGCCTTCATGGTAGACGTTTTGATGGAACTAACCAGCATTTAAGTTACATGGAGAGGAAGACCATGAGAATCTCTCACGGTTAGACTGACAGCAAGGGAACTCCAACCTATAATCCGTCTACCACTCATGATACTTCACGTCAGCACTGTGGTCGGTGCAAGCCAGATGCGGATTCGTATCAACCAGCCATCGGTGGGATTCGAACCCGGTTCACGTCATTGGAGGGAGAATGCTCTATCCCCTGAGCCATCACTGCTTTGAAAAAATAATTAAAATAAATGGTTGATGGCATGGACAAATTAACATATATCACAATTATTTAAAAAAAATTAAATAGAGATCCTTTTTTTAAGCGAATTTATCAAATTAAATATTTTAAAAGTTCAGTTTTTCATAAAAAAATTAAAAAAGGAAACTAAAATACAGAAGAGTATGATCTTATCAAAATCTATTGGTTTTAGCATAAAAAATTGCTTCAGAGAAAGTTTCGTTGTACGGAAGCTGGTAATTTTCGCATTTATTTAAGCAAATGTGTTAAAATTGTTCACTCGGTGAGATAAGTTCAAAAGTATACATTCATGTTTTTTTTAATCAAAAGTAATACATATTATTATAAAGGAATACGAACATAATACTTCGCATAGAATTCTGTTACTATCGATGGAGCTATTCCTGAAACAAAAAATGGGTCTCAGAGAAATTACAGCTGCAAAATTTTTCAAAAAGAAAGGAAAATCAGAAAGATGAAAGTCTAAAATATTTCTGAAATGGCAAAAATCGGAAAGATAAACGTTCAAAAAAATTTCAAAAATGCCGAAAATAAAAGCAAAAGATTAACGCAAAACCAAAGTCGTTATACGGAGGCTATTGCTTTGGCAATTGGATGACATTTTGAATGTTATTGAATGCTCCGATTAAAAATTTCGTTGTAAGGGACAATCGTATTAAAAAATTCGATTGTATGCGAATACTATGTTCTATAAGAGAAAATTGATTGGATTGAATGTAGAGT